GTCAGGATTGCTTCTGAGCAGCCTAATTTTGGCCAGTGATTCAAGTGATTTCCTCAGGTTCTCCAGGAGATAAAATGGCTTAAGAAATGTTTAGAGTGAAGCTGGCATAAAAAGAAAAGTTTATATGACCAAACATGGGTAAGAGCTGAAGTTCAAGTGGTGGTAAGAATGGTGAAGGGTGCTTATTTCTCTGTTCTTACTGCTTCTGCAGATAGTCACCCCCAAGCATTATTTAAATTGACTAGGTCGCTATTATGGAAAGCCAGGTCAGAAGATGAATTTGATGGGCTATTGCAATGAATTCAGACAGCATCTAGAGGATAAAATCACTCACATGCCGTCTGGGGCAGGTCCAGCTGAAATGATGGAAGCCTTGTCTTGCAAAGTAGTGGGATAGATTTGGGCCTCTGGGTACTGAGGAAGTTCTCTGTGCTGTTAGCTTGGCCATCTATCCTACCTGGCTGGTGAAAGTTGCCATGGAAGTAAGGTAAGGCTGGGTGTGGGCAGTGGGAAATGGATACTTGAATGAGGTGTTGCTTACTTCCTCTTCAAGAAGCCATCACCCAGTTGTATTACAGATAGTCCTCATTTAGCAACTGCCTTGTATAGCAACTGTTCCAGCGGTGATGAAAAAGTAACTTTATGACCAATCCTCGCATTTATGACCTTCGCAGGTCTGTAAAGCAAAAGGAAGCTGAAGTAAGATCATAAGCACAGTCACAGTTTAACTTAGCAACCACTTTGCTTAACAACCAAGTTGCCAGTTCCAGTTGTAGTTGCTAAATGAGGACTACCTATAATTAACTGTTGACCAGTATCTACCCTTTCTTTTTTAGGGACAGCTGCAGAGAATCATGAGTGAACTAGATTATCTTGATCACTCAGGATTCAAGCCTGCATGTGGAACTGAACCAATGTCATTCAGTCTTGTTGATGACCTCTGGTGGGGCTGGGGCAGGTCCTGTTTGATCTCTGAGGTGCAATTTAAATTGCTGATTATCACCTTTAAAATCCTATATGGCTCAGGGCCTGCATAACTCTGAGACTGCCTTCTCTAAATTGAGTTGGCCTATCTGGTAAGATCTAGTAGAGAGAGCTTGCTGTGGTTTCCAAATCTGAGGTAAGAGACCCTTGCTTAGGTCTTCTCAGTGATGGACCCCCACTTCTGAACCTCCATTTCCGGACAGTCTCATTTCTGGACATCCAACTCCCTGTTATTTTTTCAAAGAGCTATGAAAACAAGGTTTTACAGAGGCATTTGGAGATCCACGAAGATTCTGCTGCTTACAGTTTTATGTTTTAATGTTTTGTTATTTGTAGCCGCTTAGAGTCTTTGGAAATGTAACAGCATATAAGCCAAGCTAATAAATAGATAAATTACCAGAAAGTAGATTTCAGTTAGGCATCAGGGGAAAAAAAAAGTCCTACTGGTAAGAGCTGTTCAACAGGTAAAAGACTGCCTCAGGAGGTGGTGGATTTTCCTGTTTCAGAAGTGTTTAGGCCGTCAGGGATGTTGTAGTAATGGATTTCTGTACTGGTTACAAGGTGAGATCAGTCCCTTCCAGACTTTACATTCTGTGATTCTATCAGTTTAGAGCACCAAAAATCAAGCTAAAAGTAAATGAGTCTTTAAGTGTTTAGAGGGTTTTGGGAGACTTACATTATGTCTCAGTAGAAAATACAGGTGACCAATGAAGGGTCTGAAAGGACATATAATTACCATGGGGTTGCAGAGGAAGAGGACTGTTGAATATAATTCAATTATAATTACAATGATTAATGTGACAAAAGTGAGGAAGTATTAAATACATGGGACACAACCATCTCTTTCTGTTTAATTAATTTCATGTATTTTTAATTTAATTTAAACTTAAGTTATGTTAAGATTTTGCTCTTTGGAATGTGTCCTCCATACCAGTTAAAGGCTAGGTATAGCCCTTGGCCTGAAAAGAGTTGCATAGCATTATGGTGTATTTCCAGGTTTGGGCTGTCCTTTATAAATGTCTAAAATAGGACCTGAGCTGACTCCATGTGAGGAAAACACGCATCTCTGCCCTCTCCCATCCAATATTTCCTAGTGCTTCTCTCCTACCATCAGTCATCCCAGTCATATGGGCCCAGATCCTCAGGGTCAGGCAATATGAAATAAATTGTTAGATTTCAGACAGATTTCAGATGTAAGACAGTGCATGTAAAACAAGGAGTGAAAGAAAATGGGCATTATTCAGAAATAATTAGATTCTGTTAGGTCCTATTCTACTGTATTGCTTTCCATGGAAGTAGTTGCAATATTTTCCAGTGGTTGTGTTCCATGTCTGTCTCTGTCATAATTGCTCTGCTTCCTGAATGGGACAGACTGATAAGACTAGGAAGTATTTAATTGAACATTTTCTAAATGATATTTTCTTGGTCTTAGGATGCAGGAAAATGAATGCATGTGAAAGATGGAGAGGCTATAGATTTGAAGTCCTATTTCATTCCTTTGCTCAGCACCATAACGTTTCATTTGTTTAGCGTGAAAGTGCTCCTTTCATTTTAAAGCAATTTATACAAAGAGTTCAATCAGTGATTTGCTAATTAGCAAAATAACTGCATGTAGAAAATTTCATAGTAGACATTTTAATGAGCTACTACTGCTTCTGGCATGAATTTGGAGTGGATTTACATGGAGTGAATATTATGAATTTAAAGAGCATTTAACATACACCAGTACAAATTGCAAAGCAAATGCCAATTTAAAAAAGATGGACTGGAATAGGGGAAAAAGTAGAACAGAATTGGAGTAATGAAAAGAAGACTGAGAAAAGAATGTTTAAAAAATAACAATATAATTAGGTTTGCATATATATTTCACAGTTAACAAATAATTGGAGATTTTAAAGAAAATTTGCAATAGGACAATAATAAGGATTTTGGATTTTTTTTTCTTTTCTGATCAATGTGTCTACCTTGTTTTGTTTCCTGAATATATAGCACTTGTATAAATTACATTTTAAGCAAGCCCTATAATAGAACGGTCAAAAATTAGGAACATTGTTTTTAAAACATGCATACTTTTCAGATACTCAGATATTTGACTATTTTAAACAGTGCATAATACTGAAGAAAAAATATGTCTGATTTATCCTTTTAATTAAATTAATGTATAATTAAATATGTCTGATTAAGCAGAAATGTATCCTAATAATTATAATACTTAATCACTGATCATTCCTGTAAGCTATCTTTGTTTTATAATTTACCTCTGCCAGTACTGAAGCCACAATTAACATTAGCAGACCATAGTTCTTATTTGCCAGGAAACAAAAAAATATTTTGTGAAGCTGAATATATTGTAGCTGAGTTTGAATATCATCATGCCAGGAGTCATCTTAAATAATGTATCTGGGATATTGATTTTCAAACCAGTTTAAGCCTAGTGTCCAGCCCTACAGTTATGGATTCTTCTCAAATGGGCATGTGCCATTATCTTATCTCTCTTCGATTCTAATTTTAAAATTTCATCGGCTTTCACCTTTACCAGGTTGGATGCAGTACCCTCTGCAGTTCTATAGGGACGGTTTAAAAACATCCCTTTTCAGCAGTGCTTATGTCCATGTGGAGATGGCTCTGTGGAATCCCTCAGCCATATGCTCCTTTGTTGCTCCCTCTATAGGGAATCAAGGAAGATATATATTTATTCCATTTTAAAGACCTACCTTGATAGAGAGCACAATGTCTATCTGTTACTGCTTCTGTCTGACCAGGCCCCTGACATATCTTTCTAGGTTGCCTGGTTTTGTGCTACCATTTGTTGTATCCATCCTACCTATGGTTGAAGTTTAGCACAAATTTTTATGATTGCCACTGCTATTTGTACTACAATTATACTGTATTTTATGTAATTTTATTGCTTTTTTTAAAGTTTTATAATAATTATAGGTCTATATATTTTATTGTTGTGCTTTCTGGCCCAAAGTACGTAATAAAAGTTTGATTTATTATCATCATACAATCAGTCACCATAAATCCTTCATTTTGTTCTTATTGAAACAAGATATGCAGTGTTTTTGGATTCTCCACTCCACTTTCAATCTTGTATCTACAGTTAAAAACCAAAGTTTGAAGTGGGCTCTGAAACCTATGGCTTATAAAATAAATTTGAATATCATTAATTGGTTACTACTGATCTTTGCACAACTCTAAATTTTATGCATCTCAGAAAAAATAGGTTAAGATTGCAAACAAAGTGCATGTGTCAAGACAAGCCCTGTTTAAATTGGCAGTTTAACTTTAGCAGTGATAATAGTTAGCCTTCATGTCTAGATACTTCTGAATACAATAGTTAGGGGGGGAAGTGGACAGAGAAGATGGCTTGACCCAGAATTTAAGGTATAAAAAAAACTAGATTTAATGGACTAATAGGGAGTAATGGGCATCTGTAAAAGCAGAATATCTGTTAAATGTAAATGGGATTTTCCTCATGCATAAAATGACACTGGATTTTATACATTTGTATTTCACATATTTTATGCATTTGCATGTGTAAAGTGGCAAATGTTATGTGTGCATAAAAGTATCCAGTATCCAGACAGATTTTCTTCATTGCATCCGAAGTACCCAAAACAAGGTCTATTAAATCAAGGGTTTATTGTCATACCTTTTTTTCCCTACTTTCCTTGTTCAGGAACAGGCAACCTGCTACCCTCTAGATAGTCTGCAATTGGCTGTCCTGCTGGTATTGATGAGAACTGAACATCTGGAAGCCATCTAGATCCCTGGCCCTTCTTTTCTTACAATAGTAATACACAGTAATACATGTTGTAGATAAATAATCTAGATTTGAAGATTTATAGAATTGCACAAAAAATCAATGGGGAATAAGATAGAGTATTTTTAGTTTCAGGAATCCTTTTATCTAATCATCTGTACAGAATGTTTTTCAGTATTTTACATAGCTAATGAATTTGTTTTTGTCTCCTTTCTTTTTAAAATATTACTTTTATTGGGCTTCAACGAAGGAAACCTATGAGAACAGAAGAGAATGGAACAAGTCAAGCTGAGTATGCAATGACATCCTGTCAAAACAACAGGACAGTTGATGCTAACAATGCAGTGGCGTAATTTCCGAAACCACCTCTTACATAGTAAACATTAAAAGCACACATGGTATATGCAAGGTGGGTGAAATGCAGCATCAAGAGAAGACTTATGGCCGAGGACTTCATTTCAGAAATAGCGTGCGCATCAGATATTCTGAAAAGAAAAGCAGGTGACTCCTCCTTGGCTTGCTGAGTGTCACAAAAGGTGGGATTGTACTTGGGGCTACTCTGAAAAAAGGATTCACAGAGGCCTACTCACTGCATGCTGGATCTGTTGAAAGCAACATTGCAGTGCCCCTTCTTCCTTTCTCATCTTAGATTGACTGTTTATTTTTTTAAAAATGCTTCAGTGATCCTTTGATGATTAAGAGGGTGATCTATTCAAGACAGTAAAATACCATAATTGGGCTTGCAAATTCAAGCTTTGCATTTTTCTGTTTATTTACAGTCATCATAAGACCCATCCTTTATCATGATTATATTGTTAAAGTGGAAAATTTCCATTCATTGAAAGGGAACATCCCTCCCTGCCCAGTTGCATGAATGTATCCCTTCCCATACAATCTGATACTAGATATAGATGCCACTACTACAGACAAAAAGGGATCTCAGAATGTCTTGTAGCAATTAGCTTTACTAATCAAAAGAAAAGTATTATCCATAATAGCATTTTAAAGTGTTTTCAATACTGTTAATCCACAGTCCAGGAGCATTTTGGGCCTTGGTGTTAAAAAAAAAATCTATATTTGAGTTAATCCATTGTTATTTTGCACTGTTTAGCACATGTATATCCACCACACTAATCTGTAGACAAGATCTCTAGAATGATATGAAAATGTTTGAATCTGGAGGACAACAAGCTGCAATGGAAACAACTTCTTACAGACTTTCCTATTCCTTAAGTAGCTCCTCCAAGTGACTAAAGAATTTTCTGCTGTAGGGAAAAAGCTGTGATAGTTTAGTCCCCTCTTTAACAAGGGGCTACCAACAGTGCCAAAATTGTTCTGCGTTGTATCATTTTGTGATAAGAAACCACAAACAGTTGAAAAGCATAATCCAACTCTCTATTGTCACAGTGTCTCGTTAGGCACAGTCACTTTAATTTATAAAAGAACGTCTGATGCTGTTATTTGTCCATACCTTGTTAAAGAAGTTAAAATATGGTTTCTGTCTTTCATATGCCTTCATTTGTCACAGCTGCACCAGCAAAACAAAACAAAAAGATGTGCTACGATCTGGCTCTTGTCTTGCTGTCAAGCTTCAGTGATATTCTGTCTTTGTATATTCAAGCAGTCTAAAAGAAGCTGTAGCAGTGCTGTTGCCTAGAATCATGGCATTGTGTCAGTCCTAAGAAGCTGGTATGCTGGCTGATTGTGACTAGGATTGTCTCAGTGTAGAATTCCAGTGCATTCTGACTTACAGTCAGTTTTTCCAATGAGAATTGAAAAACTCTTAAAAGTGAGGGGTGGAAGCACATCTGTGCATTGGATTCTACTGCTCCCTTACCTAGACAAAGTCACTGGATAATGGCGTCCCAGTTAAATATCAAATATTTGGAAGGAAGGAAGGAAGGAAGGAAGGAAGGAAGGAAGGAAGGAAGGAAGGAAGGAAGGAAGGAAGGAAGGTTATTTCAGCCTTTGGCCAGTCAACAGAATACAATAATACTTAAATAAAATTAATTTAATATAGTCAATGCTGTTGCAGCAACAATAACTGGCCTCTTGTCTTAATAGCAATATAAAATACCTTTGCAACTATTTTAGTTGTATCTGAGCTTGCATCTGCAAGGCAGTAACATAAATCATTTATTCTTGGGAATCTCAAAAGTAGTGGTTATATATGTTGCTTATATCCCAATAGAGGATGCAGTACAAAAAAGCATGTTCCCAAGGCTCCAGAGTTAGAGTTGCAGGGACGTATACTAGAGGATTGGTTTCTTATAAATCTCATCTCTAGGATGGATAAGGGAAGTTCTTTTAAACAGAATGTGGTGAAAGAAATCCTAAACATACCTGTTCAATATGGATTGGTGATCCAAATATCTTTTTATATGATTTCCTGGAGCAGGAAAAGATTAGTGTCTTAGTTTTAGAACACTTTAAAGTTGATTTATTATTACTGCAATATTGCAAGAAGACTCTCATCAGTCACTGGGGACCTAGTCACTTCTGGGAAAGCATAACAGAGTCATCAACATATAATAAAAGAGGCACATGTGTGTCAGCCAGCATAGGGCAGCAAAGTTTTCAGATTCCAATGAGGCTGCCAAGTCATTCATATAAAAATTGAACAAGGTTGGAGCCAAGGCACATCCTTGTCTATCTCCACATGTAGAAGGAATTAAATTAGTTAAAGTGCCATTAGGATTATATATAATCTGCAAAAAGGATTTAGAATATATGCCTTCTGTCAGTTGAGGTTTTCCTCAGTGTTTCCCATAGTAGTCTCCTAGAAATAGAATTGAAAGCTGCTTTAAGTCAGGAAATCTATGAAAAGATTACATATTGTTCCTGAGAAATATTTCTCAGTGGGATGGTGCAAGACCATACAGTGATCTAGTTCAATGCAACCTTCTCTGAACCCAGTCTGCTCAGTCCTCAAGATTTTAGGATCTGCTAGCCATGTCTCTAACTCATTTAAGAGATGCATAGCATAAACTTTGCCCACCATTGATAACAAACACTTGGGGCAATAGTTTGAGGAATCCTTTTTAAACATGAATATTACAATGGATTTTTCCATAGTTATGGGATTACCCTTTTATTGTTGATAGGAATTTAAAAATAAAACTAGCAAAGACTGGAGCCCACCATTTTGAGTTGATTTTAATAAATTCTGGAGGTATAAGATCAGGGGACTCTCCCGTTTTTTAAATGCCTTATCAGAACCTCAGTTTCTTTTATGGGGACAGGAAGCCTCAGTGGGGGGGTTTCGGTAGTAAGAAGCACAGTGGACTCAAGGAAATTGTCATTATAAATTGCAGAAAAATGGGTGTCTCAAGTTCCAGCAGAGATTTTACATATGGGATTTTTCAGAATACCTTTCCATAGCCCTGGAAACAATTCTCCAATAGATTTGTTTGTCTTTACTTCTAGAAACATCAAAAAGACTTTTCCAAGTGGCTTTGTTGAGCTTTAAACATTTTTTGTACTGTATGTTCTTTTTTTGTCTAGCAAAAAATGGCTAGGGAAATCTTCTTATTGCCTGCTCTGTAGCTTTGTCAGTGTTACAAACTTGTTATTTAGAAACCTACATAGGTTCACTTTCAACCTATTAATCATCATCATCATCTGCCTGGGTTATATGAAAATTTTACTTCACAGTGAGCCAGCAAAATATTCATAAAAGAATTAGCCAGATTACCATAAAAAAAGTAACCTCAGATGCCTCAGTCGCTGACATGAGCTCCTTTTTGTTTAGCCATACCTTCAAGGGAATTGAAAATAAAGGCCATCTTCCCTTCCGTTTCACTATAGTGAGCTTGCTTTCAACTAAATGAAATATCACTTTCCTTTGAACAAATTCAAACAAAGTAACAGGGCAGGTGATCACTGCCCATTTGTTTCCCAATAGTGAAAGAAGACAGTAAGCTTTCTGATCCTATTATGTAGTCCATACACTGTTGCCACTGGAGCCACAGATAGATTCTCCAGGGATGTCTGGGGGCAAACTACCTTTCAAAATGATATGGGTGAGCATCCCAACAAGCTGTATCAAGTAGGCTCTTGAACAATTTATACCACAATCCTTAGAATGATACAGAAGAAAAGGATGCTTATCCATCCATTTCCAGTGGCTGGATGCTACCCAGATTAAATCATCAGATCCACAATTTTAAGTTAAAATCACCTAGCAAAATAAGACAGGCCCAGGGAAAATGTGCCATAGTATCAGTTATTTACGAGTCTAATTGTTCCCAAGTACAGCTGATTCCATTGGCAATTTGTCTGGGTGAAAGATAGATGTTACAAACTTGTTCTTTTCCTGATCTGAACCAAAATAGCCATGGCATAAGGGGGAAGATCAGGTAACCTAATTATTCATACGTTCAAAGCCACCCTGCTTTGTATCTACCTTTATTGTTAACTGAGTGGGCATGCATAGTGTATATTTCAAAACCATTTATGTTAATCTCTTGGCTCCATGTTTCTTGAAATAGTAGAATATTCATAGATGAATAACATTTTAGAACTCCCTATGCTTCTTCTTCCTATTCCAGCTAGCTATATTCCATGAGAGCAATTTCAAAGTTTGGCTAAGGATTTCCTTAGCAACTTTGTGAGAAAAAAATATTGCTATCACTCTGTTTTAATTATGATTACAAGGCAAATATTCAACCCTAGCAATATCCTTGAAGCAAGTTGCCAGTGAGGACAAAGAATGACTAAGATGGAGAAAAAGAGCTTTGGAGTCCAATTGTGTTAAATAGCTTTAAAATGATGTTTTTTTTAAAAAAACTAGCTTGTTAGTGACAAATTGTAAATATCAAACACATTTATTCACCTCCTTTATAGGGCAAAAAGCACTGTATTTGGCAGGAAACATGGTAAGGCTCTATAATGACTTTTGGGTTTTTATTCCTATCATTTAAAGACTGGCATGACGGGCCAAGTGTATTTCAGTTTCCCTGTCCCTGCCTTTTGTACCAGTCTTGGCTCCTGAATTGAATCTTGATTTTTGTCGCTGGTCCTTTCACCATTGTTTCTCCTGGGATTTTGCGTGCCTTTTTTAGGCCTACATTCTCAGTCAAAAATAATCATCTGTTTCTTTAAGTTTATCTTCTTCTTTGCCTTACTATATTCAGAGTTATTAATATAAGAAAATATATAAAGAAATTAATAGGAAACCTCCCAATACAGTACTAAAATATTTTTTAAATTACCAGATAGTTTTATTAATCCATTTTCAAACAAAGAAACATAAAATAATGTAAAATAAAAATGAACAAAGTACTAATTTTTTTTTTTAATTGGTCAGTTACCTAGATATTTGAGTGCTCAACTATTAGTGTTAGAATTGAGAATAAAATAGTATGGACTGGTATCTTCTATTTCTGGGCCTATTTGCTGATTGATTCAGCATTTCAATAGAAGAGACTATCTGTAGCTCAGGGTTGAACTGTGGAGTCCTTGGTGTGCTCTCTGAGCTTGGTTGTTTACTTGCAGACGTTTCATTACCCAGCTAGGTAACATCAGTGTTAGCGAGGGTGGAGCTGGTTTATACTTATAATTATTATCCTTACAAGAAACTTTCCTTTCTTCAGTATCTTCAAGGGCTGGTATCAAACCAGATCCTATTCAATTTCAGGCAGAGCCATGAGAAGTTGAAGCGCAGAAGGAAAAAGCAGATGCCACAAAGCAATAAGAGGCCTGCACTAGAATAAAACTATTTCTTTCAAAGACAATCAATGTTGGCATGAGATCATTCTTGCTTATCTTAAAGATGTTCGCAGAATAATATACTTGCTTGCCAGTTTGATGCCCCTTCTTTCCTCCTAATTAATCTGTTGCGTGAGTTGCATAATGATATCACTTTTAGAGGCTTCTCTGTAGATTAGCTTTTAGCAACTTCTCCAGGGCTCAATAAAGTAGTCTTACACTGTGACCTCTACCTATTTCATTAAAATGGCTGTGAAAAAAACCATGAACAAGATAGCAGCACTGAGATTATAATTGCTGTTTTAAAAAAAAAATTGCAGAAGAGGACTGCAGGCTATAATGCCCCTAAACGTAGGTGAAAAAAAAAACACAAAAATAAGAAAAGCTGTACTGTATCTAGCTCATTGAAACAACTTCCCTCATCATGATCTTACTCGGAGTCCCCCAAGGGTTTAATAGTTAGCACAGGTAGCTATGAGTGACTCAAGGGCCTGGTCAATCATTACATTTCAGTGGAAGTGTTACTAAGTGGTAGAGCATATGTAAATATGTACACTGTCTAAAAGGGAAAACATTCTTACGGAGAGATCTGTAGAGTAATAAGTTAGCCTAATTACCTATCTAAGTTTCTTTCCTTCTAAGGAATATAGTTAGAACCTTTTAAAAATCAAGCCTTGGTGAAAATGGAGTAATCAAAGTACAATATTCAGTTTTATGGATATAGAGCTTTCTCTTCCAGTTAGTTTGGTGTATTATAGTTGCACCAGTAAAAGGAACATAATTTGGATTCTTGGAGGCAGAATTATTCAGAATCAATTGCCAATTCAAACAATGCTCTTAAAACCATACTCCATGGTCACTTATATTACTTTCCCCACAATCCTGGTTAGAATGTTTCATGAGTAGGTTTGCTTCCCCCCCCCCTGGCAAGAGAGGGGGGGAGGGAGAAAGAGAGAGCGAGATGATCTTTAGAAAGTATATACTCTTTTCTTAAAAAAGAGAATAGACATGCTTTATAGCGTAAAGTTTACATGTATGCAGGTTATAATGATTAGGTCTATCAGCAGAATTTTAGTGAACCAGTAGTTTAAACTCAAAAACTGAATTGGATCATTTAATAGTTCTGCAGCAGCAAAAACAAAACAAAAATAATTCCTCTGTAATTTCTCCTGCA